AGTATAGTTGATTTACTGTGTTAGTTTCAGATGCACAACAAAGTGATTCAGTTATACATATACATATATTAACTCCTTTTTAGATTCTCTTCTCATATAGGTTATCACAGAATATTGAGTAGAGTTCCCTGTGCTATACAGTAGGTCCTTGTTGGTTATCTATCTTATATGTAGTAGCATATGCATGTTCATCCCAAGCTCCTGATTTATCCCTCCCCACCATGTTTCCCCCTTGGTAACTATAAGTTTGTTGTAGATATCTGCAAGTCTGTTTCAGTATTGTAAGTAAGTGCATTTGTATCATTTTTTAAAAATAGATTGCACATGAGAGGTATCATATGATATTTGTCTTTCTCTGTCTGATTTACTTCACTTAGTATGATAATCTCTAGGTCCATCTATGTTGCTGCAAATGGCATTATTTCATTCCTTTTTGTGGCTGAGTAATATTCCATTGTTTATATGTACCACATCTTTATCCATTCCTCTGTTGATGGACATTTAGGTTGCTTCCTTGTCTTGGCTATTGTAAATAGTGCTTCAGTGAACATTGGGGTGCATGTATCTTTTTGGATTATGGTTTTCTCCAGATATATGCCCAGGAGTGGGATTGCTGGATCATATGGTAGCTCGATTTTTAGTTTTTTAAGGAACCTCCATACTGTTCTCCATCATGGTTGTACCACTTTACATTCCTACCAACAGTGTAGGGAGGGTTCCCTTTTCTCCACACCCTCTCCAGCATTTATCGTTTGTGGACTTTTTGATGATGACCATTCTGACCGGCGTGAGGTGATACCTCATTGTAGTTCTGATTTGCATTTCTCTGATAATTTGTGATGTTGAGCATCTTTTCTTGTGCTTTTTGGCCATCTATATGTCTTGTTTGGAGAGATTTCTATTTAGATCTTCTGCCCATTTTTTGATTGGTTTTTTTTTTTTTTTGACATAGAACTGCATGAGCTGTTTGTATATCTGGGAGATTAAGCCCTTGTTGGTCACTTCGTTCGCAAATATTTTCTCCCATTCTGTGGGTTGTCTTTCATTTTGTTTATGGTTTCCTTTGCTGTGCAGAAGCTTTTAAGTTTAATTAGGTCCCATTTGTTTATTTTTGTTTTTATTTCCATTACTCTAGGAGGTGGGTCAAAAAATATATTGCTGCGATTTGTGTCAAAGAGTGTTCTTCCTATGTTTTCCTCTGAGGTTTATAGTGTCCGGTCTTACATTTAGGTCTCTAATCCATTTTGAGTTTATTTTTGTATATGGTGTTATTTTTTTTTAACATCTTTATTGGAGTATAATTGCTTTACAATGGTGTGTTAGTTTCTGCTTTATAACAAAGTGAATCAGCTATACATATGTTCCCATATCTCTTCCCCCTTGCGTCTCCCTCCCTCCCACCCCTCTAGGTGGTCACAAAGCACCGAGCTGATCTCCCTGTGCTATGCGGCTGCTTCCCACTAGCTATCTACCTTACGTTTGGTAGTGTATATATGTCCATGCCTCTCTCTCGCTTTGTCACAGCTCACCCTTCCTCCTCCCCATATCCTCAAGTCCGTTCTCTAGTAGGTCTGTGTCTTTATTCCTGTCTTACCCCTAGGTTCTTCATGACATTTTTTTCCCTTAAATTCCATATATATGTGTTAGCATACGGTATTTTTTTTTCTTTCTGACTTATTTCACTCTGTATGGCAGACTCTAGGTCTATCCACCTCATTACAAATAGCTCAATTTCATTTCTTTTTATGGCTGAGTAATATTCCATTGTATATATGTGCCACATCTTCTTTATCCATTCATCCGATGATGTGCACTTAGGTTGTTTCCATGTCCTGGCTATTGTAAATAGAGCTGCAATGAACATTTTGGTACATGATTCTTTTTGAATTATGGTTTTCTCAGGGTATATGCCCAGTAGTGGGATTGCTGGGTCATATGGTAGTTCTATTTGTAGTTTTTCAAGGAACCTCCATACTGTTCTCCATAGTGGCTGTACCAATTCACATTCCCACCAGCAGTGAAAGAGTGTTCCCTTTTCTCCACACCCTCTCCAGCATTTATTGTTTCTAGATTTTTTGATGATGGCCATTCTGACTGGTGTGAGATGATATCTCATTGTAGTTTTGATTTGCATTTCTCTAATGATTAATGATGTTGAGCATTCTTTCATGTGTTTGTTGGCAGTCTGTATATCTTCTTTGGAGAAATGTCTGTTTAGGTCTTCTGCCCATTTTTGGATTGGGTTGTTATTTTTGTATATGGTTAATTTCATTCTTTTACATGTAGCTGTCCCGTTTTCCCAGCACTACTTATTGAAGAGACTGTCTTTTCTCCATTGTGTATTCTTGCTTCCTTTGTTGTAGATTAATTGACCATAGGTGTGTGGGTTTATTTCTGGGCTTTCTGTCCTGTTCCATTGATCTGTATTTCTGTTTTTGTGCCAGTACCATACTGTTTTGACTACTATAGCTTTGGGAACTGCTAGTAGGGATTATCTTTGGGTGGAGATGGACTTTTTCCTCTTCATGATTTTGTGTATTGACAGTAAATATGTGTAACTTTTAGAATCAGGAAAAGCATTTTCCTTAAAGAAAAAAGGGGAAATCCTGCCTGTCCCTCAAGACTGTCACCCACTAAGACTCCCCAGATCCCAGCCAAAATGAATCTTCTATAACTTCATTATTCTGCTTTTACCTTGTATGATCATATTCCTTCATATTTGGCATTTGCATAGTATTTTTCTTCTGTGCAGTTATAAATTCATGCCTAACAACAATAACCATACTTTCCAGGCTTAGCTTTTCAGAAAATGGCAGCTCTCTTCTCTCACTTGAACCTGATAATACTACACACAGACAGGGCAGGTCCAGTCTCCCAGGCTCTGATTTCTTGGAGGGCAGGTGCTGGGAGTCTTTGTCACTGTCTCCCAATGCCAGCCACAGTGGGTGCTCACTGTGCACTTGCTGGACTGAATAGAATTCCTCTCCCCATTATAAACTTGTTTTCCAGTCAATCCTGAGGACGACTGGATGGCAGCATAAATGCATTGGGTGATGGGATTTCATGGGTGCAGGTGAGGCCTTTTCCTCTCTCCTGAAACTGATGCCATTACCCAAGCCCATAAGGATGAATTTTCTGGGTTAGGGTGTTCCTGCCCCAGTTAGAGTGGAAAGTGTCTCTGGGGCCATAATGCACTCCCCATCACATCACAGAACATCCTCGAAGGCTGCCGTGAGAGTCACAGACGAAGTAGAAACCAGAGCCACACAGGGAGCTGGGAATAGGGTGGGGGTGGCAGTCCCAGAGGCCCAGTGCACCGCTTCTCCGCCTCCTGCTTATGACTGTGGAGCCATTACTGGTGTGGGTAACGCACACTTGCCAAGGTGTGAAGCATTCTGCAAGAACAAAGAGCCTGGAGTTGGGCTTCAGTCAGTAAGGGGATCTGTGGGTGGGGTGGGCAGGGAGGATGCAGGTACGAATCTCTCTGTTATTGGCCTTTCTCTTTGTGACTTGTGTCTTTTTTCTCCTTAAGCAGCTGGTGAGGAAAAGAGAAGCCAGGGTCTCATTTTTCCTCCTTCACCCCTAACATACACACCTTAAAATAACCAGCAGATAGCAAAGTAGGAACCAGGGGAAAGGCAGCCTGGGGAGGTTGCAGAAGTTCCCCCAAGACCCAAACGGGGAAGCCTAGTGCCACCCCAAGGCCCAGCTCACCAGTTGAAAGGACTTTATAGAGATTTAAGGCCACTGTAATTTTGGCAAGCACAAATCTCAATTTCCAAACTAATTGGAATCTATTTTTCTTTCACTCCTCTTTTGAGCTCCCATTCTCCTGAGATTCAGGCAGAAACCCAATCTCAGTGGCGATGGCGTTACATCTGAGTTCCAGGGAACTTGCAACACTAAGGCATTACGAGCAGGGGTTGGGGAGTAGTCTTCCGTGTTATCTGACCTCTCAACACTACTCAGGGGTCCCTCATTCACGATCTCATCACTCAGCTGCTTCTTTGCCTCTCCAGGCATGGGAGCTCTTCAAGGCTGCCTAAGGTCCAATCTGCCTGGACTAGAGCCCCGTGAAAGCCTTGCTCTCCAAGGATTGGAGTATTCCATTGTTTATATGTACCACATCTTTATCCATTCCTCTGTTGATGGACGTTTAGGTTGCTTCCTTGTCTTGGCTATTGTAAATAGTGCTTCAGTGAACATTGAGGTGCATGTATCTTTTTGGATTATGGTTTTCTAGGTCCTTCCTAGAGCTTTGGCTGGGGACACGGCACAGGGCCCTCTCTCCAGGTCCTGAGACAGCCTGGTTCCTCTCAGTGTTCTTTCCCGCCCCACTCCAGGGGACTCTGTTGTAGGTAAGGAGTTATAAGCAGGGGTGGGGAAATATTTGTTTGCTAGGGCTGCCATAACAGAGCACCATGAACCGGGTGATTTCAACAGTAGAAATTTTTGTCTCACAGTCCTGGAGACCGGAAGTCCGAGATCAAGGTGTCAGCAGGGTTGGTTCTTTCTGAGGGCTGTGAGGGAAAATCTTCCGTGCCTCTCCTCTAGTTTCTGGTGGTTCACTGGCAACCTCTGGCTTGGAGAAGCATCACCCCGACTTCTGCCTTCATCTTCACATGGCGTTCTGCCTGTGTGCACGTCTACCTCTAAATTCCCCCTTTTGTAAGCACACCAGTCATACTGGATTAGGGGCTCACCCAGCTCCAGTATGACCTCATCTTAACCAATTGTCTATTTCTAAATAAGGTCACATTCTGAGGTACTAGGGGTCAAGACTTCAACATATGACTCTAGGAGGACATATTCAGCCCATAACAGGAGGCGGGCAGGGCAGTTCATGGGGAAGAGGAATGATTCTTTTCTCCACTTACTCCTGCGCCTCCTCAGGATTTGTCTGTAAACAATTTGGCTGTTCCCTTGGGACATCATTCCTTTAAGGGTTTTAGGCTTTTGAAACCAGCCTTTTTTTCATTCTGCTTTCTGCCCTCCTGCAGCCCTTCCCTGAGGTGTTGGATGAACCACAGCTTCATCATTTGAATCCCAGCAAGAGCAAAAGGAAGAAAATAAACCAGTCACTATCTCAAAGATGCTGTCCTGCCATGTAAGTAAGCATTCCTTTTCCTGGAGTGCTGAAAAGAGAGGCTAAGAGGCCAGAGGAGCTTGTGGGGGAGGATTTGGGGGTTTGGAATTCCAGTTGTGTCCTCTTTGGAGACAAGAATTGACAATGAGCAGTTGTTCCCTTAGCAAGTAAGAAAAGAGGGACAAGCTTTTTCAAAAACATTTATTTTAAAATTTTACATAATCTTTGGGTAATTCAGAATTAGCTTAGTCATGATTCAGAAGTTTCTGAGACTGATGTCTCAACTCCAAACCAATATCAATAGCTTATCTGATTGATGGAAGGATTTCAGGACCTCATGGTATAGAATGAACAGATGGCTACTGAAGAAAACAGAACACCTTAGAGACAGTGGCTTTCCTACAGGACTCGGTCATAATTTTTAAATTACCTGTCACAAATATTAAACATCTTATCAGACTAATGATAATATCCACATCTTATTTGCATTCTACCGGTTTCCATGTAGAGAAAGCACAGAATGAAATTAACTTGATCCCTTAATAATAACAACTAAAAGCTAGCATCTACCCAGTGTAGTCTTAGTGTCCACACCAACATCTCGCTCCTGATGATGGAATGCCACCTTCCTCTGCACTCAGTGCTCATGATTCAGAGATTGTGAGGAATTCGTGGGCCCAGAGACATGGAAAAGACTCATGTTACACAGCAGCCAGTGGCCCCAGTGCTCTGCCCATCCCCGAGCAGATCAGGCCTAAGCTGCAAGCAGGGAGGAGGAGGGGCACGTTCTGCACCCTCCACTCCCTCGGATGGTTTCCAGGGTGTTCTAAGCAGGGTAGGTGTAGTCTCCCAATAGGACATTAACTTCCCTCAGGACAAGGACCCCTCTCTGGCCTTCAAAGCAGGGTCCTGCCCAGATGTGAGCACAGAGCAGGTCCTTAGTAAAGGAAGGGAGGAATGCAGCATGTACTGAGCACCTACAATATGCCAGGTAACCCTCACAGCACCTGTGAAGCAGGCTTATCACCCATTTTACAGATGTGGAAACAGAGGCTCAGAGAGGAGAATTTGCCCATGGTGGCGTATCGAGTAATAGGGGAACATCACTTTGAAAACCCAGGGCTTCTCACTCCAGAGCTCTTTCTACTGCCTCCTCAAGCCAGTGGTTTGGCAGCGAACGAGGATTCCAGCTCCAAAACAGCTGGTCTGGAGCTCAAACATTCGAGGCCCTTGAGCACACAGGGCTAGCTTTGGGAGTCCAGAAGCCTGGTCCAGTCCAGTGTGGCTCCCCATCGGGGGAGGGGACTTAGCACAATGGTCCAGGGAGTGAGTAGACAGACCACAGTGGGTAGGCCTCTGCCTGGAGACTCTGGTGTTGCTCCCTTGCAGGGAGGGGTGGAGGGTACAGCAATCTGATACACCTGGTGAGAATCAGTCATGATCTCCAGGGTTCTGACCTCTGAGAGCTACTTTAAGTCCTAGGAAACCCCATTCCCAGTCCCTGAGAGACCTTTCACAAAAGGCCCGTGAAGGTCCAAAAAAAAAAAATGGGTGAGGGTATTTTAAAGTGGAAAATGCTTAAAAGTAATTTTGGAGGAGGAAGAGTAAAGGGAAAAACAAGATTGCCGGAGGAGGTGTGGGGGTAGGCATCCAACAGGAAGACCTGGATATGGTGTGCACGCCCAGCGGGTAGGCTAGGCTCAGAGCAGGCGAGCCTGGGGAAATCGGGCTTTTGGCATCTGGCTTGCCTGGCATCTGTCACGGGGCTGCACTTGCTGCCTCAGACATGAGGGAGGGGCTTCCTCAAAAATAACTTGAAGTTCATGTGAATTCAGGCAGATCTTAGCAGATAAATATGGGTAATAAAGGCAGAAAGGAAAACACATCTCAGATGACTCAGACAGAATCTGCTTGACATGTTCTTCCTCTTCTAAAATCCACTCCACAGCCCCCAGCTCCATGAAGCCCTCTATGGCCCACTGACACAGGAAGTGTGTGGCCCCTGCTGGTGCAAAGATGGCAGCACAGCAAGCCCACCACCCGGCAAGCCCACAGGACACTGAGCACACCGAATCCATTCAGTCACTCGCACTGAGCTGTAAGCAACTTGAGGATGGAGACGGTACCTTTTCTGTACTCTCATCTCCTCACACATGGAGAGGGCTGTGGGGGCATCAAGACCCTTTGCTCACCAGCACCAAGGCCAAGGGCCGCCAGACCAGTGGAGTGATAGGAACACTGCCTCTCCCAGGGCATGGACCTTAGGAGCAGCTTAGTAGTTCTGGAGGAACTGACTGTGTTTCCTATGCCTTGTGACACTTACTTGCCCCTCAGAGGCACCTTGTAATGGGCACAATCATAATATGGGAGAGTTTGTTTAAAACATGAAATCAGTGTCTAGGTGTAGATTTCAAGCGTGACAGAGCACTGGTTTGCAAGAATAACACCATTCCAGCGGGGAAAGCAGCCCAGCTTTGGCAGCCCTGCTGGGAAAGGTGGATCCTGCAGTTACCTGTGCAGGGGAGGGGCAGAGAAGACGCTGACTGGAAGGAATCCTAGGCATGTGTACATGAGTGTGGTGGGAAGCTCTCGAGTCACACACCCCCATGACAAAAGGGCAGGCTGGGCCTGGGTCCCTGCCTTTGGATTCCTGAAGGTTCTTGCTGCCCGGACTGCAGGCAGTGATCATTCAGGAACAGCCTTCCTGGGCCCAGGGTGGCCAGGAGACCAGCTGTAAAATGCCCGGTGGAGAAGGGTGAGGGGGCCTGGCCGGGCAGCTTATGCTCCGCAGCGGATGCTCCGGAAGCCAGGCAGCGTGGCTTTTCCAAGCAGGTAAATGTCGTCGTCCGTGCCCCGGTTGAGGTGCTTCACCATGTTCTTCTCGAAGAGGAGCGGGTGGTAGGCGCCCATCGTGCAGGCGCTGTCGAAGAACTTCTGGTAGTAGTAGCACACGTCGGTCTTGCGCTTGGATGGAAGAAACTCGTAAATGTCCACCTGGTCGCACAGCGTCATCATGATGATGATGCCTGGAGAGGCGAGCAGAGGTGAGTCCTGCCCGGCAGCCCACCCCAGCTCCCCAGAGTGCTGCCCAGGGAGCCCAGCAGCTTACGCCCCCACATCTGGGGAGGGGTCTGGAGTTCCTGAGTGTGACTCCCAGTCTGAGCTGTTCTGGGAAGCCAGTCCAGCAGGCTGTCCCTCTGGGTGCAGGGCCCTGTGCACCTTCGTAGGGTTCGTGCTGCCCTGCTCAGCTCCCAGGTCAGGGCCTGGTGCACAGCAGGTCCTCCCTAAACACTAATGGGTTGGAGGGCTCCATCATCAATGAACTGATGACTGTCCATAAGCTATATGAAGAGACAGGACAACGTGACTGAGGAGACGGAACCATTCCGTGCAGATATTACCTTCTAGCATCTCTGTAGATGGTAACTTGGGAGGCGTTTCTTATATCAGTACCCGGAGGAACAGCGTGGGGAGGGAAGGCTTCGTGCCTCAGGTGGGAGGAGGGACCGTTGGCACAGGAGCACGCCATGGTCTGTACTGATGCGCTCTGCTCAGTCAGGCGGGAGACAAGAGCCGGGAGACAAGAGCCGGGAGGGTGTGGCCAGGTTGCGCTCTCAGGGAGGGCACAGAACACTCAGGGTGCAGACCCAGCAAGAGGTGGGAGACGCCTGCCACCACCCACGCTTGTCCCCACCTGGCTTGGTCATCTCCTGCCGGACACGTCCTGCTTGGGGCCTCAGGTTCTTCATCTGCCCCAAGGGGGTGATTTACCCACTCTTCCTACCACATAGGCTATCGTTAGGATGCAATAACATCATGGCTCTAGACTGCTTTTGTCAACCATAAATATAGGCAATCTTTATGTTGAACAGTCCTCACTAACAGCAAAACTGTAAACTGCTAGCAGCAACTCTGTTCTAGAAGAATCAGACATGGGAAAAGCCCCACCTCTGCCCTCTGGCTGCCTCCTGGTTCAGTGGGGGAGAAAAGACACCTCTGCAACTAACTGATGAAGACACAGCAGAAGTGCTTCTAGAGATGATGGGAGGGAGCCCTCCACGAGAGAGGGTCCTGGTGCACCTCCCGGAGCACTGCTATGGGGCCTGGCAGGGGCTCTGGCCATGAGGGCTGGGCAAGGGGGAAAGCCTGGTGGTGGCGGGAATAGCATGGGCAAAGGCAGGCAGTAGGGCAATGAGAAAGTGTCCCAGGAAGCTCTCCATCTACTTCTGCTCAAAAGGGGTCCAGGGAGAGACCCCTAATGCACCCATCCAAAAGTGGAAGAGAAAGGCATGAAGACGATGGGATGCTGAAAGCGCTTCCATCTCTATCTATCAGGAAATGCCTCTGATAGTAAACATTTATTTGTTCGTTTGCTCAAGGAACGTTTAGCTCAGGGCTATCCTGCACCAGACCCACAAGGATGAGGCAAACGCAGTCCCTGCCCTGAGGGACTTTGCAGTCCAGTAGGGAAGATGGGTGGGCCGGGACCGTGAGGGGGGCGGGGAGCCGTAGGCAGCCCTGGAGGCTCGTGGAAAGTGCCCGTGGTCCAGCTGAACTCAAAGTGAAAGGGAGGGAAGGGCAGACGGGCCATCAGGGTGGAGAGGTGTGGAGTAGGTCCAAGAAGAAAGTCTGTAGCCAGCATGCAGGGCCCCCAGCACTCTGACCCCAGCCCACCCCCATGTCAGCACCCACAGCTCCATTCGTGGCCCCCAAACCCGGCTAAGCCTCACCACTCAGGCTTCTCTCAGGGCCACAACTAGGGTGGCCACTAGGGTGAACAGAAATTCTGAATAAAATATTATTGACTCTTCCTTTTTCCACAGATTCTAATATGGCCCAGGACAATAACGACATTATTATTGATCCTGTCTTCATCTAAATTTTGATATTTTGTCTATCATAAAATTTTGCATTAATTGTGATTTTTTTAAAAAAGATACTGTATTAAGATATCATTTGTTTCTGAATTTCTTGGCACCTCCTTCAATCGACACCTGAAGCAAGTGCTTCGCTGGCCTCATCCGCATCTCAGCCCTGCTCCTCCCGTTTTCTTGCCTCCTCTTGTCTGTGCTTCC